ATTGATTAGTTTACCTTAGTGAAAACATAATCAATTCTACTGAATACATTTTCTCAGTAAAACAGAAATTATGTTTTATAGCATAAAAGTCCCTAAAGGGATTTAGTAACCAGAGCTAAGTCTCCATTTTAGTGTTTCCTTAATTTTAAAAAAGAAAGATTGCCTTAGCAAGGTGGCACATAACTGTAGTCCCACCACTCAAAAAGGCAGAGGCAGTAGGATCACAAGTTCAACATTAGGTTGGGCAATTTAGTGACAGTGAGACTTTTAAAAATGAGACATTCTAAAAAGGGGATGGTGATGTAGCTCAGTGAATAAGTGCTGAGTTCAATCCAGATAACTGGAAAGAGATGATAGTCTCTCTAAAGCACAGCATTACAGCTTTACAAAACTGCACGCTAATGGTATCTTCCAGAACACCAGATATATCCATCTATCCCAGTGATACATTGCTGTATTCATGGACAATTCATATGCTCTTCTAGATATCTTTAGAATGCTTATGTGGAAAGCAAGTATAAATTTATAATTTCTTCTGATTGAGGAATTATATGGGAAGGTTAGTAGAAATTATTTGCTGGGCATTATATCATGTAAATTTTACTTTTATACAACAGATAGTTATTTAATTCTCACAAAAGTTTTTTGAAGCTGATTTATTTTTTCTAATACCTTTATCTCTTTCTCTCTTATATTTCCTCTCCCTAGATCCACTTAGATATGTCAAAGTTTCCTCCGTCTCCTCTTTGTTTTATTCATTCATTTATTTGTATTTTAGGTTTATCACGTAAGAGAAACCATGTGACGTTTACCTTTCTGTGTCTGACTTATTTGCTTAGCATGATGGTCTCAAGTTCTATTCATTTTCAGTTTACAAAGGACATGACTTCCTTTTTCTTTGTGGCTTAATAATATCATTGACTATGTACACCACATTTTTGTATCCATTGGTCTGTGACCAGCATCTAGGCTATTTCCAGAGGTCAGCTATGGTGAACTGCACAGATATGAATATTCATGTATTACTTTAGTGTGATAGATTTAACTCTTTCAGGAATATACCCAGGAAAAGTGAAGACTTGGACAAATGGAAATTCTATTTTTGTTGCTTTGAGTAAATGTTATACTTATATCCAGAGAAGCTGTACTAGTTTATTTCCTCCAAGAATGTAGAAAACTTCCCTCTTTCCATACTGCCTTGGCAACATTTGTTAGGTTTTGTGTTCCTGGTGAGAACAAAACTGACTGGGCTGAAATGGGATCTCAGTTGTTTTAACTTGGATTTCCCTAATAGTTAAAGACCCTGGACACTTTTAAATGTATTTATTGGTTATTTTTACTTCTGCTGTAAAGTGATACATGGAAAGCCATTTTTTCCAGCACCATTTATTAAAGAGTCTATCTTTCTTCCAGTGAACAAGTTTGGCCCCTTTGTCAAAGATAATATGGTTGAGTGTGTTTGGAGTTGCATCTGCATCTTCTATTCTGTTCCAAAGATACTCGTGCCTGTTTTTTTTTTTTTTTTCCTAGTACCATGCTGATTTTATCATAGTAGCTTTGTAGTATAATTTCAAGTCAGGGATTGTGATGCTCCCTGACCTGCCTTTGTTGCCTAGAGTTGCTTTTGTTATTGTAGTTTTCTTTTGGTTTTCAATGAATTTTAAGAATGTTTTCTCTAGTTCTGTGAGGTATGCTAATGGTATTTGCATCACAATTGCATCAAATCTGTAGAACAATTTTGGGATTATGACCATTTTCACGGTGTTGCTTCTTCCTATCCATGAACAAGGGATATCTTTCCATTTTCTGATATCTTTGATCTTTTTCAGAGTACTGTAATTTTCAATGTAAAGATCTTTTATTTCCTTTGTTAGATTGATTCCTAAGTATTTAATTTTGGGGGATGTTATTGTAAAGGGTATGATTTCCCTAATTTTTCTCTCTGTGAGTTTGTTGCTTTACACTGCTGTATTTGGTTATTAAATCTAGAAGCCTTTTCATGGAGTTTTTGGGGTCTTCTAAGTAGAGTATCATGTCATGTACAAAGAATGATAATTTAACTTCTTCCTTTCCTATACTTACCCCTTTATTTCTTTCTCTTGTCTAATTGCTCTGACTAATGTTTCCAGAACCATACTGAATATGGGTGAACATCCTTTCCTTATTCCTGATTTTAGAGTGAAAGCTTTCAATTTTGACCATTTAGTATGATGTTAGCTATTGGTTTGTCATAGATGTATATATATATTTTAATGTAATGGAGTTCTAGTCAGCCATAAAGAAGGATAAACCTCAGACTCTTATATGTAAATTGATGCAGCTCGAGACATACACATACATGAAATAAATCAGACCCACAAGTATAAACATTATAATCTCACTAGTGTGAGAAACTGAAAGAGGAAATAGGATCCAAAATAGATATTGTGAGTTGAGATGAAACTGTCCAAAGGAAAGAGAAACTGTGATGGAAGAGGGGAGAAAGGAAGGAAGGGAAAAGGAAAAAAAAAAAAAATAGTCTATATACAAGTAAAGACAGTTATAAAGCTAATTTCTCTGAGTTCACTGAAAAGAAAGGATTATGCTAATACTATTTGTACCATATTTCATATCTCTATTTTATACTCTGAGTAGCTACTTTGAAGATAACAATGCAATTATTAGTTATGTTACTCTCCTATTATCTTGTTTTGAAATTCTGTTTTTTTTTTTCATTTTAAAATAAAACAAAAAAATAAAAGTAGTATTCACCTTATTTGCCCATATTTTGATTGGATTGTTTTATGGCCTATTTTGTTTTTTACTTTGTCTTGGATTATTTTTTATCTCTTTGTACATTTTAAATATTAGTTTTCCACTAGAAGCACAGCTGGGAAAAACTTTTTCCCACTTTGCAGGTTGTCTTTTCCCTCTGTTGCTTATTTTCTTTATTGTGGAGAAGCTTTTACAATTTGATGTGATCCTATGTGTTGCTTCTTGATGTTCTTTTCTGTGCTGCTGGAATTTCGTTCAGGAAGTCTTTTCCTGAGTCATTTCAAGTGTTTCCCTGATAGAAACCACTACAAAGCAGCTCTGAGCAGGATTTACTATTAACCAATTGGCTTTCCACGTTTACTTGTGAGTTTGTTCAAGGCCTATACCCTTTGTCTAATGCCCCTGACTGAGGCTGGAGTTAAGGAAACCTGGCTCCAACCTCAATTAACTAGATAAAGACTGTAGCTGCAGGCAACTCACTCCTAGGTGGAGACCTTCTTGGAGATAACATAGTTCTCCTAAATTAACATAATGTCTTACTTGGAGAAGCCCTTGAGTGGATTTCCAGACTAGATTTCCTTCTCAGATTCCTGCCTTTTTTCAGTATTCCCCTCCTTTGATTTGATAACTAAATAAATACAGGCTGCCCAGAGAAGATCTCTGTCTTAACCCCCAAAGAACCTCAAGTTCTATTAGAGGGTTTTGATCCTTCTGGAGCCCTAAAATCATACCACTTGCCTTTTTTATATAGCCCTTGCCATACACTCATTTGGGAGATTGAGGGCCTGATCAGTCCACAGTAACTAAGGGATATTATTAACATGTTATTTTTCCCCTGTTATTTTCCAGTAGTTTCAAAATCTTGGCTTTTATATCCAGGCCTTTGATCAACTTTGATCTGATTTTAGTACAGGGTGAAAGATAGAGATTTAGTTTCAGTCTTCTGCAAACGGATATCCAGTTTTCCATGCACCATTTGCTTACAGAAATTTTATGAAGAATATACTCTTATTTTCATTAATCTTTCATAATGAGTACAAAATTTGAGTGAGAAAGCATATTAGGACCGAGATTTATGTCCAAGTCCATTTTACAGTATGACAGGATATTTTTCTGTCCTGTGTGTTATATTTAATTAACTGTGTTATATTTATTTAATTAACCTGTGTTATATTTAGTATAATGTGTGTTATATTTAATTGATCTAGTAATTAATATAGCAAAAAGTTTAAAGAATATGAAGATTTTAGAAAAGTTATAAACTGTGTCAAAGTGAACTCAGCTATAACAATTTTAATGTACCAGAAAAAAAATCCTAAAGCTCCTGAATGAGAAAATTTGCATATATAGATAGATAATTAGATAGCTATCAGTCCACAATAGCCAGATAGATAAAGATATAGATTGGTACTTATATCTATTGTTCATTGATACTATGTACATTGATACTATATGTATGTATATCTTTACAATCAATGTCAGATAACTTCCTGTTAACAAAATATGCATCAGAAAATTAAGAATTTAATTAATTCACCCTAAATTTCTTAGAATGTATGCTTACAAAATTTCTATAAAGTTATCTCCATAAAAAGTGACTCCATACTAGTGACTATTTAGAACCCCCAAAAAGTCTGGCACATATTTCACTAAATTATTTTCTTAGTCTTTAAAGCATGAATCACTCTAATTGTACCTGTGTAATAAATATTAATAAAACATAAGAACATTATCTAATTTTAACAGGACATAAATATTGTGATAGATTGTTACATGTTGAAAGAATCCAAAATACTTATATTCTACAGAAAAATTCTAATTCTATGGGAACTAATCAGATGAATATATTTATATTTTAAATAGCATTTTCTTTATGTGATACCTTTTTGTCAATATTTCAATTCTTTCTAAACTAAGAAAGTTTTTGTCATTGCTCTGAGTATCCTTTAAAAACAGATTTATGAAATTCTAGATAATTTAAGACCATTCTTCAGTGAAAATGACATGAAAAAGATAAAAGTTGGAGAGAATCAGAACTTTATTCGAATAGAATCCTCAGGGTTATTTAATTAGGCTATTTCGAGCAATAAGAAATATATTTTTATAGTAACAAAATCTCAGGTTTGAATGACTTTAGCATAAGCTGGACACCTATTATAACAATATATCAGCAATACTGTAAAAAATAAAACCTGTCATAATTACTGTGAAGTATTACATGTAAAACTTTACTTGGTTTTTAATACCTTGTTGTTTTCGTGGATCATAAATCTGAAGCCCGAACAGGGGTGGTCTTTCATGCCTCAGTAATGTCACCTCATTCATTATCAGATCCAGTTGAAAAATGGAACCATTCATATAATCGGTCCAGAACACATAGTTTCCATGGTGTGACAAGCCAAAAGGATGGTTCAACTCTTTGCCACTATAAACAACCTGTAAAATATAAGCACATTCTGAAAAATTAGAAGTGTTCTTTAGACACATAACTAAATATTTTGAGGAAATGATGTTCAAACATGCATAGCAGATAATGATCTAACATTTTAACTCATTTTTAATATTTTAACATTTTCCTCCAGCAGATTTGAAAAATTCATTGCACAGTGTAGGCACATTTTCCTGTTTTTATAGCATTCTATTAGAATGAATATGTACATTGCATCCAATTAAATCATCTTGTGAATGGCACTATACGTATGGTCAAAATTATACATATTAAAATGGTTTTGACTAGATTTCATCCATTCCGTTATCACACTATCATATCCTTAGTTAGAAACTGACCTGAATAGTTAGTATCATTCTGTATAGTAATGTTGCCCACCAAATGGGGAAGGGAAAGAATGGAATGAGAATAAAAAAGATCCCTTTAAATTTACCAGGCTAATGAAAATTGAGGAACTCTAGGATGTGACAAGAAAGAGACATATCATTTTAATTCTGAAGAGAGAAATGCTTACTCCTAGTACATAGGGTAAGGCTTACTAACAAATTTTCAAATCTGTTTCTCAATATATTAAATCAGATTCCAGTTATATTTTGTAGTGGTCTAAATGTAGCAATCATATAATAAATATCCACGTCCTCCATCACATGTAGGATTGGAGAAGATGAATAAACAGAACGTCAAAACTGACACTATTTTTTCAGCTTCCATCATTCACAGACATATTTTATACAATATGAGAAAGCATTTTTACTCAAATTGTTCAAAAATTAAGTTATGCACATAATTTAGGGTTCCCAAATTCAAGTTTTGCTCTTTTTCCTAAATGCTTCCTATCAATTATCAGATTTTAAGTAATTGGGACAATTTCTCAATTTATTTTTTCTCACATTAATGTAAACTAAAATCTTCTGGCCAAGAAAATGTTATATGTACAGCACCATCTTGAAAGGAATAATAAACATATATGTTTACATTTACATGTAACATGTACACATATGACATTTACATTTGTTAAGTATATGGCATTAGGTTAAATGCCAACCAGGTTTTCTTATGTGGGAGAAAATATATACAGCACTAATGTTTTATCAACTATACCTTTGTCTTACTGACAGTGGCATCAACTTGAATTTTACCCCCAAAATGCAAACATCATTTCACAATAACTCTTGCAAGAGACAAGAGGTAGCCGATATCTATTCATACCAATAGGCTTGAAGTTCAGTTCATTCCCACTGTGTATTTCAATTGCAATGTCATAAAGTTTTTATTCAAATAGATGCAATGTAATTATTTTCCATAATGCATACATTAAATTTTATCTGCAAATATTGAAATATTGAATACAGTTGGGTGGTTTGGTCATAGAAAATTCATTAATATTGCAGAAAAATTGCATTTTAAAACAGCTCTGATATCCTGCAAGCTTCTTTTAAAAATCCCACAAATCCTGGCATACCACGGCGAGCTGGACCTGGTCTCCCGGAGGCAAGTGCCAGCTGCACTACCGAGCGCTTAGCCTTCTTTAGCCACCCCACAGAGCCCATTGGCGGCTACCTCAGAGGGGTAAAATAGACTTGAAAGTATTTTTAACACAACACAACAAGGCTCTGTGAAAGAAGAAACCTGTGGGCTCAAAACAGCGGCATCTGTCTTTTACCTTCCTGTGCGTGCCATTCAAAAACACTTTCTCGATGTGATCATAATAGGCATCACACCAGTACAGTGTGCTGGTGTGGAAGTCCAGAGTTAAACCGTTCGGCCAAAGCATCTTCGAAGTCACAAAAATCTGCCGATTGAAGCCATCCATCCAAGCCTTCTCGATCCTTCCCACACTGGCATCTACTTCATCTTCCTCCCAGTCTGTCCAGTACATCCAACTAAGACATCAAAAACAAGAGTGCCTGAACGTTACTTCAACCAACCACCATAGAGACACACACTCTCTCTAAATGCTTATCTGTCTAGGGAAGGGGCGCTGTGAACTTCTAAGAGAAGTAAAGATCAACTCTACTTAGTTCATTTTGACTCCTTATGGAAAATACTATCAAGTTTATTGGTCATGGACTGAACAGACAATAAGGGACAAATACCTATTTTCTTTGGTGCTACGATCAAGTGTGGTAAATGTTTTTTTTTTTTTTTTGCAACATTACTATTTTTTAAATCTTATGCACTTCACAAAGTAGACAGTGTAACTATACAATCAATTAAAGGACAAACTAACTGACATGAGAATCCATGCCAGAGTTAATGATCTATTTGGACTTTATTTAATCTTACATGAATTATTTTTAAACCGAGCACTTGGATCACTTTTGTTCTGAAGAACACAGTTGTTCTGGGATTGTTTGGTCAGGTCCAACTTGTCTTCCTAATGCAAATCATCTGTGCTTTGTTGCTGCTTATTATTATTACCCCAAGCCCACAAAACATGATTTAGCTGCAAAAAAGTTTAATAACAGCAAGTTGACTGACCTTGAGATTTTCAGCTTTAATTTCTATCTCAAACAAAGGGATCTGCTTTATAAACAAATCTTTTGTGTAACAGTTGGACAGAGGCCCTTGAGCTAATGTTCCAGCTCCCTCAAGAATAAGGTTAAAACCCACCACATGTTTTGTTTGTGGGCCATGTGAAAGTTCTTGAGTTATTAATTAAATGGAGGTTTGAATTCAATCACTTTGAACAGAACTTTATAAAGCCTGAAAGCTTTTGTAAATTGGCTGACCCTAGAAATACCCTTAGCAGAGTTCCTGCCTCCCACATTTGGTGAAACCTCATGAATTTCTGAGGTAGTTTGGATAAAATCTGTATGTATGACTAAGAATTTGCCTTCTAAACAGGCAGATTCATGAAAACAAAACATTTACAGTATGTCATTCGGTGTTTTACACCAATTACATTGCTTTTAAACTCTATTAACAGTTTACAGCTATGTTAATAAGACTTTCAGACCTGACAGAGTATACTGAGATGATTTTATTTTATGAATCCTAGAAGTAAACATGGAAATATGACCATTTTCCTTGCTGCATTTCCTTACTAGGGTTTTATTTTGGGGACAACCTAGGAACTAGGAGGAGAGACTTTCCAGTTGTGCTTTTTTATATTAAGTATTACTACTTGATTTCATTTTTATAAATTAACTATAAAAAAAGAAATAAGTTCTTTTTCATTTCTATTGATATTTTCATCAAATCATTGTATGTACCCTTAGCAGAGCTTTATTTTTGTTGTCAATTTATAACTTATTGAAACTGCTGTAATCTTTCCCTGAAGTTTTTCCTTTGGCCAGAGCAACACTCATTTTTTTGAGTTTTCTCACCTGAACCCCATATTCATATGTGCACACATGTGCTCACACTTACACACATGTACAGGAAACTCTGGATTCCTTAAACACACTGTATATTGTTTTATTGTCTTAAAAATTGTTCTTAAAACGATGTATTACCTGTGATCATTTTTATTTGAACAAAATATGTTATTTTCTACAAATAAGTGATGCCAACCTTCTAACAAGCAGATACACATACGTGATCATCCCTCATTTAATCATCTGCTTAAAAGTTAGCCGATGGTGTTGTACATGCCTGCAATCCCATTACCCTAGCATGTAAGGGAGAAGGACTACAAATTCAAGCTCAACCTGAACAATTTAGCAACTTAGCAAAACCTTGTATCAAAAATATAAAAGAAGTGGGATTGTAGCTCAGTCTGAAGACCATGGGTTTAATTCCCAATATCACACATACCAAGAGTTACGTTATGACAGCTTTAAAGTCAATACTAAAGATGATAATCTTTAAACACAAATATTCAGGATGTAATATAAAACTTTTTATGTGGGACTTTGAGTATTCATGAAATAATTATGTTAATCTGGCTTTCTGGTACTATACTAAAAAAAATCCTACCCCATTTTCAAAGCCTCATTAAATACAATTCCTTGATGAAATTTGTCCTCAATTTCTGATGAGGTCTGGGGATAAGAGTCAAAAGATTCTTTCTTTTTTTGCAGCATGCTTTAGTATGCTTGATAGTATTCATTACATCTGTGCCTTGAATGATATTATATATCTGATGATTCCAATTAAAATTATACTGATTAAAGGAAGGAATTACTCCATGTTCTTAACTGTACCCTGAAATACCAAACTTTCTTTTGCTGAGATTAATCATCTAAGTGAAACTGTATTACTGGGTGGTCAATCTTGGAAATATTTAAATGTTTAACAGCTTCACTGTTAGAGAAATAATGTAAATTTGCTTCCCTTTGAAAAACCCTATTTGGTTCTGACCCATTAGCTGCTTTCAGGAGAGGTGTGATATTACTAAGTGACATTACGATCCAGAGATACTATTTGGAAGGAAGCATTCACTCAGGTTGGGACATATTTCACGTAGATGATATTTTTAGAAGTCAGAACTGGAGACATAGGCTTCTCTCTTACTGATATGAATTGTGGAATATAAAATTGTTGGAAAGGATTAAGTTTATTTGTAGTTAGCAGTTTGAGGAACAGTGCTGTGATAATCTTTAGCTTTACCTGCATTTCAGCAATTGTGGAGATGGACCTATGCTCTTCTTTGAATGTCTCTTGCTTTACTCACCATTTTTTATTCAAATTACAAACATGATGGTCCACACGGAACAGCTAAAGGGCACCCTTCTTCATATCTGCTGTGCTCCTCATGCAGTTGTCTTATTGGCCTCAGTTGTTTTCCTAAACATGAATTTTGTTTTTATCTTTGTTTTTTGTTTTAGAGACAGGGTCTTTCTGTGTAGTTTAAACTGGCCTTGAACTCACTATGTAGTCCAGGATGTCCTTGAACTCAAGTCAATCCTTCTGTCTCAGCCTCCAGGACAGCTGGGATTACAAGCGTGTGTCACCATGCTCAGCTTTAAACGTGAATTTTAAAACATGACCTTTATCCTCAGAATATTTCACATAACTTATCACCTAAATAAATCGAAACATCTTCTTATAATATTGAAAATTTCACCATATTGAAGGTTTCATCTATAAAGTTTCTTCATATGCCCTGTCCTCCGTATTTCACAACACTCTTTTTTAGAGTTAACTATTTTTGTGTATGTATGATGCCCACAATATTATGATTTCCTTGAGTATAATTATAGTCTTGGTTCTATGTATTATTGATCTATGGCTGTGATGGCAAACCTTTTGGAACTTTCTTTTTTTTTTTGTTTTTTTTTTTTTGGTTTTTCTCCGGTACCAGGAACCGAACTCACGACCTTGCACTTGCCAGGCAGGCGCTTTTGCCGCTGAGCTAAATCCCCAGCCCCTCTTTTGGAACTTTCATAGACATCAGCCTGCTGCGGCATACCCGCCACGTAGATTCTCCACCCCTGGATGGTAACTACTCATATTTTAAGAAAGAAAGAAATTATAGAAAATCAGTGATTCTCTATTTTGTATTGCTAAGAACAGATGATTGTGTTAGAGTAAAAACAATGTAAATACAGGAAGCTTTCCTTGAAAATATTTCACTTATAGGTGTATTAACACTGTTTTGAATGGAGTTTTCCAAAATAAAGCTTCTTTTCCTCCTTTTTCTTATTATATTTGTTTCCAAAAATTACTTGAACAATTTAACATGGTTTAATTCCTACTTTCAATTTTTCTTATCTATTTTCTACAGATAAGTAAAATTAGCCTTTTAAAAGCACAAATTTGATTGTATAATCTCTCTGTGTCATCTATGCATAGAAGAGACAACACAAAGTTCTCATTATGCAAGCAGGGCCTTGATCTCTCTCGCAATTTAATTTTCAGTCACCTTTCCCGAGCTGCCTACATCTCAGCCCTCCTGTCTTCACTGCGGTTCCCCCACCAGCCAAGGTTCTCCCCATTTAAGATCTTAACATGCACCGCTTCTTTCTGAAAAACTCTTGGTCCCACTGTCCATAGATGGTTCTTTCTCCATAACTGACTCAACTTAAACAACGCCTCCTCTGATAAGCTTCCTCCGGGAACATTTAAGTAAGTTTCCATCCATTTGTCTCCATCACATCAACCTGCTTGCTGTCCTTCTGCTTGATTGGTTAATATTTATTTAACTCCTCCCTACACCTTACTTTTCAGTTGTCACGGGAGAGTTAAATCTGTGCTCATTTGGTTAAGCATTATATACCTCGGGCAGAGCTCTGGAGATAACATTCTTATCAAGGAAATATGTGTGGCTTCTTACTGCTGGTCAGGTTGGTGCATAAGAGCAGCATTAATCTGAAAAGTTGTGTCTACCGTAAGAAGCATAAGTCATTCTTTGTAGCACCAAAGCAAATACAGGCTTAGTAAGTAAACAAACGTACAGGGATACAGACATTGCCTTAATTTTATATCGATCAGAATTATCTCCAAACAGAATGAATAATGAAGAGATTGCTGGTTTCAAATACAAGTTGGATGCCCATTAGGTTGATGCAAATGGAATTCTTGAATTTTAATATGACAGGTAGAATTATGTCCTTCTACATAATAAGGTTCTATGATACTCTATAATAATAATATTCTATATTTATGCCATTTCCTTGAGGGCATCACAAAGCCTTTAACTCTATAAGAAAACATTTTTCTCTAAAGGAATACTGAAAAGGAAGAGTCTATTTTAATACATATTTGAAACACTACTTTGAGTAGATTTGGATGGTATAGAATAAATTTTTTTTTTTTAAACTAAGATTGGTTTGAGTTAAAGGTCAAATATATAGCTTGGTCTAAGTCCAGGAGTAAACAGATAATTATAGACTCTGCACATATAATCACTGAAATTACTTTCTTGTAAATATATTCTATTAAAACACATAGGATAACTTCATCCAGTGCCTAGGAAGAAGTACCCTGGTTTTATTTGAACTTATTCCCAAATCTAGGAGCCCATTCAATGATTCAAGTTTATGAAGGATTTACATGCTGCCTACTCACTAAATAATTTTGGACACAAGCATTAATGTGTAAAGAATATCTATTTAGTCATTAAAACAATAGCATATAAGTATTGGAGAAAAAAATGTACAAGGTACACACACATAAACTTTAAATGTAACATATGCAAAATACTCATTTAATTTTGAAATTCTGCTATGAAATTCCCATTTATTTCATATTGCCATCAGTATATTTTTGTATTAAAACTCAAAGGAAAATTGTTACCAAGAATTGTACAACACATCTTACCCTAAACAAGTAGCATGTATCATAAGCGGATGTCGTTGTATGGAAACCATTTGTGGCTAAAATCATGATTAGCATTGTAAATTTATAAAAAGCAGTAAAGTTTCTAAGAATAAAGTTTTGGAAACATTCTGCTTAAATATCCACACAAACTACTAGCAACTGAATGGCATTTGGAGATGAGTCATCATTTTTCCTTTACAAAAAACAGGGCAAGGGAACAGTGATCAATTCAAAGGGTTATCATGGAGATTACTGAGAGGAACAGAGTAATTCATTTAACCAAATGCCTGGTCTCTAGCTCATATACAAACACTTCTACCTACTTTTTAATATAAGGAGTTTCAGTGACTTTTTAAAAATTTGATTGATGAATTCCCTGATTGAATTTATTTTATTTTATTTTATTTTGTTTTTTGGTTTTTCTCTGGTACTGGGAATCGAACTCATGACTTTGCACTTGCCAGGCATGTCCTCTGCCGCTGAGCTAAATCCCCAGCCCCTCCTGATTGAATTTATTGTTTGTCTTGGTGTCATACTGTCTAAAGCACAAATTATAGTATTTGTTAAAATAAGTCAAGTAACATATCCTTACAGTACAAACAATTCATTTTAGTTCAATCTATTCTGACATTTTTATTCAATATATCATCTAACAGAGGCATTAAATAACTTCCTAATCAGACCATTCATGTTTGAATTCATCCGTAAATATAAATTTAAATAACATTTACCACTACTAAATATGTAAGCACATTTATTATCATTTTCCTTACGTGAAACCGATGTGGTATTACATACCCATTAACTGGATCCACCACAATCCCTCTAGGGTGGGACATTTCTCCCTCTAAAAGAGTCTTCCTACTCTGAGAAGCTTTTTCCAACCTGGCCACATTAATGGTTTTTCGATGGCCGTCATTTGTCCAGTAAAGGTTATTTCCAATCCAGTCTACTGCAATACCTTCTACGTTATCTAAATCTGTAAAACAGAACAAATAAGAAATAAACCAAGTGTATAAGTATAGCAAAATTAGTGTCCACTGCTGATATTTCACTTAATAAACAACTTAATTTTAAAAATTATGGATTGCCATATATGCATTTTTATGGTTTGATTTTTGCAACTATCACTATGCATCAAATATTTTTCAACTTTATTTTCAACACCTTCTTACATGAATGGTGGACTTTCTTGTCTTCACATGCATTTCTTTCACATTCACAAATTTTACAAATTAATCATGGTATTTTAACTGAACATGACTATATCATTATTGTAACAGCAATCTGAAGAGAAACAGGAAAATGCAACTGATGTGGGGAAAGGGGCAATATAAGTGAGATATGCAGCAATACAGGCTGCTTGGAAGAAAATGCTAATACTATGACAGCAGATCCAGGCTGTAATATGTAATCTGAATAATCATAATAAAAAGAATGACCTTTTCGTGCAAGATGAACAGACACAAGAGGAACACACATTGAAAGCTTGGAAGAGGCTTTCATCATACACCTGCATGAACCATGAATCTCAAATGACTGTGACTCTTATGTATATTTTAGAGTTATTTAAAAAGGAGCCTATTACAGTCTTCTAGAAAATACAGATAATGATAAATCAAAGCATATGTATAGACATTCAATCTTGTGAGTTTGTTTGATTCTAATCTTTAATTTTACAAAAGTGGAAATTCCAAAACTTCAAAGTGAAGGCATCTGTCTATAATATATTTAATCAAGGAGCAGTACATATCCAGTTCATATGACCCTCCAACTGTAGAAATCTTCAAAACTACACTGTTCTCATGACGAGTTTTTACAGAGCCTGTCCTCCCTTTTTGTCATTTTATAAATCATATCAGAAACTGCCAGCATCAAACAGACAATTTTATACAACTATTTTATGAATAGAATTACTTGAAACTCTTTGTTATGATTCAGAACCAAGAAGGTACAGAGATGGACAAAGTATCAGAAAGTACGATGTCAGAGGCAGAGAGCTGTGTATTCATGCATTACTGAGAAATCTACCTAGGTTTCCTCTTATGAAGGTGTAAGAAATATTTGCTATTATCAAGTCCTCTAATTATATCTGTTAGGGCTCTAGAGAAAAAGAAAAAAAAATTGTGACCCTTTCTGCTAATCAACACGTGCCCTGAAGCAGGATGACCGCCAAAAAGTGCGATTTGCTCTAACTGAAAATCCCATTACCGCGAATCAGATATGTTCTCAATTTCACTAAGCTATCTGCTTCATTACCATCCAATATGAGACATTTTCACAGGTTAATTGTGCCTATAGTTAGAAAAGTTTAATTTTGCCTTTACTTTATTGGCATTTAATTTTACTGAGCACTTTCCTCTTCTGGCGTAATAGAAGGACAGTAGCTATTTACTCTTTTCTGTGTTTCACGGTCTATAGCTGTTTTTTTTTTTTTTTTTATTGCTCCTCGGCCTTGTGGATAAGATCAAGTCTATAGCTGATTTTTATCTTCTTAGTTGGTTTTCAAAAACTGTATTACATTTGAAATCTATTCTAGCACAGAAAGTGGATAGCCTTCTTATCTTTAAAACTTCTTTTGACATATTATTTGAGACTTCATTATTTCCTATAAAAAAAGTTGCAGGGCCAGGGATATAGCTCAGCAGCTCAAAGCCTGCCTGGCAAGTGCGAGGTCCTGAATTAGATACCCAGTACCCACACACACAAAAGTTGTGATACTGTTCTGGATGGAAATTTTACTTTTACCTTTTGGGTAAACAACTCATTCATGCCAATCTTTAATTTTTCCATTGTAAAATGAAGATAATAGCCTCTATCCCCACAATGATAACCAGAAATAAATTAGTTACTGTATGTAAAACCACTTAGAATATTGTAGCTCTAATTCAGAGAACTTTTTATTAGCTTATCCAGGTTTTTAAAATTATATGTTCTGACTCTTTTCCTTATGGATGCTGTTAGATAGGAAGATAGCGTATCTTTTTAAAAGTTTACTCAATCTTTACTTGCATGTTTTCCTAGTGGTTAAAGTCAACTAGAAATAATATATGCAGAATCATTCACTAATAACTAAAAAATATAGAATGGAATTTTAAGGAAGCAGAATTTCAAAGTAATTTGGCCCCAGTTGGTTTGTTTTGCTTTACAAAATTGAAATGCTTGAACAGTTCAATTAAGTAGTGAGTGGGATCACAATTCTTTGAACAGCATTGCCGCTTGCTATATATCTTACAAATGGAAAGAATCATTATGTCTTTTCCCTCCTTAATTTCTTTATCTGTTAAATAAATATGGCAATAACATATAACTCACATTTTTTGTTTTATGAAAAAATGAAACAAAATTTCATAACAAAATGGTAAGAGAATAACAATAGTGCATACACCATATATCCTTATCTCCGAAGTAGTTGCTCAGAATATGAGGCACAGACAAAAAGATTCTCTCTTACAAAGAAGAAACAGACAATAGCACAATATTTCCAGTAGTACAAATGAAACAAATTAGCATTGACATTAAAATATTTTTGAAACAACCGAATAGGCAATTTGGGAAATTATTTGAACTTCTCTCAATTTCCCATTTGTCTAGCTTCTATTTCATTCCTTATTGAATACATAGATACATACATGTATAGGAAGAGAGAGAGTTTCATAGGTTTTTTGAGGATTAAGTGTATAAATATATATGATCTTCATAAAATAATTACAGATATATAGTAAATTTTATATAAATATTATTATTACTAAGAATATCTTTATTTTTATAGTCTTCCTTTAGCTAGTTATATAGTCTATTAAGATACTAATGAAACAACCTACAGTGTTCTGCTGCTTTTTGTTTGTGTTTTGTTTTTTGGTGTAGCATAACAGGGCTGAATATAGAGTTTAAAACTTAAAAAAATAAAAGAATCTCTATGCAAATTGGGAATCTTTTTTATCTATATTTAATCCAATATTTTTCTCACTGAAAAAACTTTGAGAAACCTCTTACTCAACAAATACACATTGATAAGGAAATCAGTCTGCTTCCACATGAGTTGGTCTCTGCTTTCAAACACTAAGATACATAGAGAATGTTTATCTTACATACATTCCATATTTTATTTAAGGGGGCCTGGGTTTGGGTCTGTCTCAGATTGATTGATAAGAATTTAGGAACAAAACTGTCTTGATGGGGAAATAGGAGGATTTGTGGAATTCAAAGAACAAGTTTAAGTTACCATGGAGATTCTAGTCATTGGCTCAAGGGTACACAGGACATTTCAGGAGTGAAAAACTGTGTTTGTAAAGAAAACTTCAGTAGACTGGATTGCTTGGTAAAATTTGACTAGCATTCAAGCAGGCTACAGTAAGAAATCCATATTCATTACTATGTTATTACAATTATTACAAAACTAATAGTAAGCAAAGATCTTAATTGCTCTATAAATCTGATTGAAATATCCCCTAGTTTTCAAAAATACACATTTTCTTATGAATAGGCAAGAACTTGAAATATGTTTATACCTCTTAGGGAAAAAAGTTTAGTTGATAATGATTCTTTTCAATTTTTTTTTAATTAAGAATATAGTTTGGGGATAGAGGCATAACTCAGTTGTAGAGTTCTTTTTTTGTTTGTTTATTTGTTTTTTTTTTTTTTTCCAGTACCGGCAATCGAACTCATGACCTTGCACTTGCCACGCAGGCGCTATGCTGCTAAGCTAAATCCCCAGCCCCAGAGTTCTTAATAGTATGTGTGAAACTAGAGTTTTGAAGCCTAAATCACAAAAACATTAACAACAAAGATACTATGTCCATATTTTTCACAGGAAGTAAAGAAATTGGACATTTATCCACAAACTTCACATCAAAAACAGACTTTTCATCTATTGTATGTACATTCAAAATTCATGCATTAATTTTAATCAAAATTAAAATTTTTATAGTTTTTCTTGTGAGAATTGCTGTAGTGATTTCAGAATACCTGTTTAAAAGCTGTTATAGAAACATGATGCCTAAATTTTTCAACTTTATCTGGGTAATCTATCCTGAGCATGGACATTATCTTCCTGAATTGGAGCAAAAGTGTTTACAAGTGCAAAAAGTATTAAGTAACATGGTACGTAGCTACATTTACACCATGCACGTGGCCACACCTGCATGTCTAGACCTCCCTGCCGTGCTTTACTGAGCCTCTGGTCTGCACATGGATAACTCTCCAGTCTCCTACTCTTTCAGTTCAGTTAGTGTGAAATCCCTTTTGTGCATTTCACTATGGCCTCAGGCATCACAGCTCACTACGTAACTGCAGCAAATGACGTTGCTTTAATTAATACCATGACAGTAAACTTGACGCAGAGCTTGTCGGCTCATGGAGTTGAAGAATCTTGACTCCAGATTAAAGTTTTCTTATAATCTCTCCCTAATGGGCAGCTGAAGCTGATGGTCTCATCCTCATTTTCATTTCAGGACTGTCTTCAGTAATTAGATCAGGAATGGTAAATATCCGAGCAGCCCTCAATGAGAAAGCACTAGCCTGCCGTTCATGCAAAGAGACAGATATCTGGAGTGCAAAAAAGGGTTTCATTTTCTAGATAAAACAAACCATATTAAAAATGATTATTTTCTGTTGTTATCAAAAGCATGTTGTCACTTCCAAGGGGCAGGTGAACGCTGATCTTCTCTCTATGGGGTTCAGATATTTTATCTTTGATACAACGAGCATAAGTAAGCATACAGAGGCATGTTGTGCATCACAGTTACCAATGTAGTAATCCAAAGTGAGAATTAAAATGAAAGGTGTCAAGAATAATAAAGAACTGAGACTTTACCCTGTTTTCAAGCTAACAAGCTTGTCTGTTTGTATTTCGTGAATGCTAACTGAAGACACAAATGTTATATGTAGCATACAAAGAACTTTCAGACTCAAGGCACAAGTGAGAGTCATCAGCAGAATGGTGTCAGCTGTCTTTCTGGGAGCAACTGGGAAAAGAAA